TCCCCCAAATTCACCCCTATCTCTCTACTCACCCAACTTCACGCGGTCTTCTTTTTAAACTCATTGAGTGCAATTTGTGCTGCAGAAAGACTGTTGGGTTTTGAGTTTACCCTAGAATGTGGTCAACCTGTCAGGTGGTCTTATCCCTAGCGAAAACCTACTTTCTGTCTCCTAGAAGGTATCAGTTGCCAATTGGTCTTCTGCTAGGGGTGGACTTTGTGTCCTCCTCCTCCTCTCCATCCCAGGATTTTTGTCTGACTTGAGTTTGTATAGGTCTTGTGTGTGCTGTCACAGTCTTTGTGAGTGTCTATGTGCAACTTCCTTGTTCTATTGGGCCTACTCCTCAGCGATCAGCATTGCTGGCCACGTTGACTATTTACTTTCCCTTCATAGAAGAAAGGAGTTGGGAGGGTCATGGGACCTTCAACTGAGTATCCAGTCAGTCTGCCCAATCAGTTGTGGGCAATTCTGCCTAAATTGCGGTGGCCTCAGGGTGTTGAGGGAGCTCTAGAGGAAATATAGTTGGGGAAGGATGAGAAGAGGGGCTTCATTTACACACCCCTGGGAAAACCATCATCTCTGATGGGTGTACATCTTCCAGAGTGACTGCTTTAAGATCACCTAAGCTCCTGCCCATAGCTCCTAACTTATTACTCTCTGTAAGTAAACCAAATAAACTCACTGGTTCCTCTGGGTGAACTTTTGTTTCAAACCTTACTTCTTGTCAGGACTTTAGTGGGGGGCGGGGTTTAATCATTGTTTCTCTCCCTTCCAGGGAGGAATTTTAGTAGTAAGCCTCATAAAGATACATGTCTAATTTTTAAATAGAGTTCAACAAGAAAATCTTTTTATGTACAGAGGGATGTTTATTAAAACATGTGCTAAGTGTGAAGGTTTTTTATCTTAATAAGCTCAGCAAGCAAACTATGTCAAAGGGAGAGATCAGCAATCACTCCAAAAGTTTAAGACTGACTGTAAATTCATGCAACTTTATAGATTGGGAAATTTAAATTTTACATTGCACTAAAGCATCTTTAATTTTTCAAAATTGTGTTTATTTGGGTACATTTGTGTTCATGCCATGGTGTGTGTGTAGAGGTTAAAATTATGGGGGTTTGTCTTTTCCTTCCACCATGTTGGTTCTGGGGATGGAATTTAGGTGGTCAGGCTGAGTAGCAGTTGCCTTTATCCAATGAGCCATCTTGCTGCCCCTGAAACAGCTTTTTGAATACAAGTCTCTAGAAGCAAGAATGTCCCTAATTTTGTCACTTACTTCTTTCCCAAAGGGTTGTTTTGAACTACAGTGAGCTGATTGGGCCAGGAGAGTGAAAGAGCTCTGCCTTAGTCTGTGGAGTGTGGAGAAAGTGCCTTGACCCCATTTCAGTTAGTGTTCTTTCTTTTTAGAGTGTGGAATGAATGAGTCTGCTTCCCTTACCTTTATTAGAAGTTGTGATTAACTAAAACCTCTGAAGGGCAGGATGAAGAAAAGTCTGCTTGAAACTGTGGGAGGAAAGGAGAAGACAGGGCTATGGATGTGGAATGGTTGGAAAGAATGTGTTCCCAGGGTTCCCACAGTCTTTTTTTTTCCCTGCTACAAATCCTTCAACAGCCTCTATGGTTTATGGAGCACTCTAGATGTTTGTGGCTATAACTGAGAATTCTACATGGCATAAAGCTCACATTGGAAAAAAAAACCACTCTAATTTCTGATCACTTTCCCCAGACAGGCCTGTCAGCAGCTGTAATGTTTCCCTGGCGTGCAGATTTGTACCACATGGTTAGACTCCCAGTTCCCATGGGTCTTTGAAGACCTCCTTAAGCCCTCCAACAGCTTCTGCAGTAGCCTGCATTCTCCTGGTGCTGCACATGTATTCCCCAGCATGGTTGTGAAGAAGAAAATATTATGCTTCTGGAGTGGTTGTGTGCAACATCCTCTACAAGTCAAATGTCACATCTGGAAGGGCTGGTGCTCACAGTTGGGATAAAGTACTGAGGGTCTATTATCCATGTGCTTACTGAGTACCTGCTATGAGCCACAGACTCCTGTTCCAGTTTATTTGACTGCCACTCTGCCTTCCAGGCTACCTGCAGTTCTTGATTTTATCTGTGTTTTCCACTCAAAGGGATTATTCATCAGAACGCCAGGCAGCTTTCACTCCCAGACACTCTGAATAGATTTTCATCAATGCAGATAGCTCAGAATGCTGTAAAAAGATGGACAGCAGCATAAATGTACTGTAGTTGAAAGTGCTGTGCTCAAAGTGTAGGGTCAGAGATCTGAACTCCTTTCTGAGCTCTGCCATTGTGTTACCTGGGCCTGGCCTTCTCTTGACCTCTGCATCCTCATTTTCGGAAGGGCAGTGGGTTGGATGGTGTTTAATGGGCCTTGCATCTTTGACACTCTTAGGCTGAAATCATGAAGAATTTACAAGGAAGCTGTTTGTAAAAGGTTGTGCTCAGGAGAGTACCTTTTGTTTTTCCCTTGGTAGAGAAAATCGAACTGTGGTCCCTGACACCACAAAGCAACTACTATTCCAAAGAACTGAAAGCAATCAGATGTAAACATCAAGGTAAAATGCATGCATAGTATTAGCACACTTTTTTTTCACTCAGCAAGAGCTCTATTTTAATCTGTCACTTCCAATAGTATACCAACATATTTCAGCCCATTTAGGTTAAGTAACTACAACAATTTGGAATGTACTAATGGCTCTTATATAGTGACTGCAGGTGCCATAGGCAGACTCCAGTGAGGCCTTGGCTCTGAGACTGTTGGCTCATAGATGTGCTTAAAAGACTCCATGTTTAGTAGTGGCAACATGTCACAGATGGCTCAGAATGGATTCAGTCATTTCCAAACTCATGGGAGCAAGGGTAATTATGGCTCAGAGGCTGAAAAGTTTCTCCCTGTGCCACGGGGAACGCTAATGGTTTGAGGGGTGAGGGCAGTTCACCATCGCTGCTTTTGTAAGGGGTGGTCTCCATGACGACATGATCAGTGACTCTTTTTCCAACTGAGCACTGAGGTTATAGGGCTTTAGTTATTCAGATTTGAAGTAACATACTTCACACATGAACTAGCTTCTTAAATATAGAATTGTCACATAGAGTGGCTCATCTCTCTTCATTTCCTTTAGCCAATGATAACAGCACTTATTCCTCTGGCTTCTTTATGAGGCTTAAATTTCAGGAACATTTTTAAATGTAAGTATGGTCCCCTTTCAGGATGCTCAATGTAAGTCTAATTGCTATTCTGAAATAAATATGAACTCCAATTCACCTAATGTAAAAATAAGCATTTTTATTTGTACGTGTGTATTTATGTGTGTGTGTGTGTTTGTGTGTATGTGTATGTATGTGCCTGCTTGTTTGTGTGTGCACCACATGTGCAGTGCCCATGGATGCTAGATAGGAGCATCAAATCTCCTGGAGGTGGAGTTACAAATGATTGTTAGCCTCTTGATGTGGAGCTGGTAATTGAACCTGTGCCAGTTACAAGATCCAAGTGCTATAGCAAATGCTTTTAACTGCTGAGTCATCTTTCTAGCCCCAGCTAACATATATTAAACAATTACTATGTCATAGTATAGTAGGCACTGATGGTGATTTACATACTTTTTGTAAAAATTTCCAAATACGAACACACTTATTTCAAAGCATAATGGGTATTTTTGGTGATGCTACACAGGGAACTTCTCTTTGAATATTTGTTGAATTAATGAAGAACAAAAAACCCTATATATTCTTAACATTTCAAAGGCCTTCAAATAGTGTCTCCTCAACCTCTCCCTTTATACAAATGGAGGTATTAATTCCTCAAAGGGGTTGTAAGTTACCCAAGGGCATAAGCACAGTTAGAGCTGTGTAGATTTGGGGTATCATTCCCTGTATGAAGTTTTGGGACATTAGAACATAAAGTTAGTGTTACATCTCATCAGATACATTCTTTTCAGGACTTTGTTGGTTGTGTTCTTTGGGATCCCCTGTAAATGATTTAACAAGAAACACTTGGAGCAATCTGGAAAGATGTTTATTGATACTTTTTGCAAGACAAAAGAGGCAGTAAGAACGTAAGTAGTGTCAGCAATAATGAAATAGGATTTTGTGGGGCAGGTGGCAGTGACAAGGGGTTTAAACCATTTATGCATCATTAAGTGTGGGGTGACTGGGTCAATACCAAAAAAGTTCACACAAAGATCCAGGTAAGTATTAAAATGCCAGTTCATTAAGTCACAGTTGAAAAATGGGTCGGATGGTCAGCACCCCTCTAGAAAATTCAATATAACAGTGTTAATTGAGATAACATAGTTCACTGGTGAGCAGAAAACCAGAAATGGGCAATTCAGTTGGCCATTTGCAATGACTCTCACATCCTCGAGCCTGCTGTGAGCAACATGACACTTAGGTTGGTTGGCACTGGAGAAGGCTGAAGATATATTGTTAAAGTATTCCTAGAAAGCTCAGCTAGTTCTAGATTAAAAACTGGCTGAAACAGTTTAAGAGTAATTTTGCATATGTTTTCTCAACGCCTTTTCCAGTAACTTCATGTTAATAGCTTGAAATCTATCAAAGTAAGGCTATTTACACCATAGAAATAAGCGATTGTTACAAGTAAAGTTTAGTGGTGTTTTAAAGAGACCTTATTTTATATATATTTACCAATATATAAATACATATATATGTAAAAATTAATCATTTCTATCTCTTCTCTTTCCTTCCTTCCTTCCTTCCTTCCTTCCTTCCTTCCTTCCTCCCTCCCTCCCTCCCTCCCTCCCTCCCTCTCTCTCTCTCTCTCTTTCTTTTCTTTCTTTCTCCTCTCTCTTTCTCTCTTTTTCTTTTAAGACAGGATTTCTCTGTGTAGCCCTGGCTATTCTGGAACTCACACCTCTTCCTCCTTCAATGGTGATGGAGAAAGGGAGAAGGGAGAATTATAGAAAGGACAGAGATTTGTGGATTGGGAGCTGAAAAGATAAAAGATTCTGAAAAATCAGGAGAGGAAGTCATGCTTTGGTGAGTTTTAATTTAGCAACTGCTCTTGTGTTCTTCTGGACTTAAATGGGCTAAAGATTCTGGATAGAAAAACCAATAAATTTGAGAGCAGCAGGGAAGATGTAAACATGAATTGCTGCCAAGGAGGGAGAATTGGGTTCATCTCTACATCAAGAACCATCGTGCCTTATGGGCAACACGGAACGCTTCACTTTCTAATTTTAACAAGGGCTGGGCTTACAGAAATGGTAAATCTCTTACTAAACTATTTCTCTAGTGATTATATTTGCTAACCTATCAATCTAGTACAAAATAGGTCCTCGATGGGCTTGCCCCCTGCACAGATAAAAATCAGAATTTATAGAACTTACATATTTAAATTTAACAAAAGGTGGAAAGACTAGTTTGCAAAGGGCATCGTCCATTTTCAATCACAGTGAATTGTCTTTGGAAATAGGGTTTTCATTAAGTTAGCTTTGTTTTTTCTTTAATCCAATTGACATACCGGGAAACCTTTGTATATATTCCATATTTGCCTTTCATTGCACATTCTTCACCCCAGCTAATAATGCCAGTTAAGAAATTTGTCCCTTCTACTTCAGTAACATGGGGTCCCCCACTATCTCCTTCACATGAATCTTTACCTCCTTCACGGTAACCTGCACAGAACATGTTGTTATAGATGGTGAATGTTGTGGACCTAAGGCATGTGGCTCGGTCAACCAGTGGAACTCTAAGGTATTGAAGAATGGAAGCCTGTCTGCCTTTGTTGAAGACTTTTCCCCAGCCACTCACATAGCCAGAACCAAACTTGAGGAAGATATTTGTATATTCTCTATTAGCAACACAGATAGGTGTCACATAGCTGTTTAGTATTAAAGGTTTATCCAGTTCCAGCAAGGCAATGTCATGACTATACTTATTGATAGTTGCATTGTAGTGGTGATGAGGGATGGCTCGAATCACATTTCGCCTTTGTTCTGTGTCTTCCTTCTCATCAATGTTATATTCACCTATTGAAAAAAAATTTCATAGTTTATAGTCCTTCACATAAACTCATTTCCCATGGTCCTCAGTCTGCTTGGCTTCACTGATCACCCTAACCCTAACCCTAACCCTAACCCTAACCCTAACCCTAACCCT